ACCAAGGTTACAAGTCTATCATAGGAAACATTGTGGCTGTACAATGTAGATTTTGCATGAATCATAAACGGACAGACAGAAGTCATGTCACTGACGTCACTACCAAAGCTATGGGGGAGATGAAAGTATTTTCATAAGCACAAAAGCTATATCTGCTGATCTTCAGTAATCTATAAGGTATAATAGTACATGTAAAGAGGACCAAGATGACTTGCTGCACACAGTTTACCACTCTATGTATATAGCTAGAAGGTGCATGAATCTCTTGTGTAAGTTATCTTATCTAATGGAGACAATATTATCCTCCAATAAAAGAAGCAGTGTGGGGCAGTGGTTAGGATGCTGGACTTAAACTAAAAGGTTTTGGGTTTGAACTTTAAGAGGGGACAGCAATTCTTAATGAAGGTAACTTCATTCAGATTGCTTCAATAAGTATTAAATACCCAAATAATAAATACCCAGCTGTATAAATGTTAAGCAGCTTTAGATAAAATCCAAATAATTTTAATAACAGAGGACCAGAGAAGCTTATGTTTCTGCAGCATTGTGGCAGCTCCTTCTGCTTATGTGAAAATACTATTATTTTGACTCCAAATTTACAAGAAACAGGGACTAAAGACGTGAAGACGTGTAATCTTAAATATGGTGAAAAATTAAAACCTGGATTTTGATATTATTGAAAATAAAAAAACACAAACACAAAACATGTACTGTAAATGAAATTACATTCTCTTCCGAAATCACTTCTTGAAATACATAATATTCCAGCAGTTTTCCATGAGCATGCCCTCACCCTTTTCAATTTCTTTAATTCCACATATACTTTAATAGACACTACAATCAGACAATTGCTACTGGGTTGATTCGAAAATAATTATTTTTTTACACGTGTAAAGTTTTTCTTCCCAAAGGATCCGAAAGTCGTTTTGAGGGAGGGGACTCGAATTATCCAAACCTGAACTGTAGCACCCACCTGGGTCATACCAATACAAGGCAGTTCATATGGGGAAATGAGAAACTGCTCATTTAATTGACATGACAAGAGCCAGAATGTACAAACCCCAGAACCACATTAACACCACCTGCTCTTCCGAGAAAGACCACGGAACATGAAATGGCCAAGAAATAAAGATTTCGGTTTAACGTCTCATCAAACAGACATCACCTCCTACAGCAATGCTTTGGAAATTCCAATTCAGAGAGAAGAACACCACCTAATGGTTAACAACACCAACTGCAACAGCAACCTGCTGTTCTCTGGGGGTTTTCTATCCCAGTTCTGACAAGCCCAAGCGAGGTGGGAGAGATTATGCATGGATTTCTGTGTGGCCAAGCAATCAAAGTCACTTCAATTTTGCTATCAAGTAAAAATCATTGCTTTTTTAATTAAATATGAGATTTAATTAAAGAATTGCTTCCTCACCCATGAAATACGATTTTACATTTTCTCCCGTGTACTGCTCATTAATTAATACCAAGTCTTGAAGCTGTTCTCTGCCTTCCCGGAATGACCACGTCTATTAAGACCATTCTGCAAGCCAGTCTGTACTGCTGCAGCTGAAACGTGTTTCTAAATTACTCATAAAAATAAATTTGGATTGAAACAAAACACACAATACACAAATTTCCAAATTCAGCAGTAACAATATTTCAAGTTTCTTGCAAAAGCTCATCATGTAACTCAAAGCACTGGATGGCCCTTGAGCAGTTATTTGTCTTTCAAGTTTTTTTTGTTTCCCCCCACAAACCTCTCAAATTTTTGAGTCTTAGAAACTCCACCTGTAATTGCTGCACTCTAGACATGCGATAGCACTCTTCTTCTCCCCATGAGCCCTATCAGGGTGCTTCCGAAGCTTGTGTTTATAGAGGCAGTTGCGTGAACTCAGACAGACATGGCAGTAAGGACACAGGTATTCTTTCTTCACTCCCTGAAATGAAATCACAGTACAATGTTACATGCGCATGCGTTGTGTGGCCAATTCCTTCCACGCCACAGCCAGTCTTGGACGATACAGGGCATGCAAGGGCCTCTGCACCCTGGACCTTATCCTTCAGGTACCACCTGTCATCTGAGATATTGTGAGGCAAGTTTATTGCACATTAGATACATACAACCTGCCATGGAATATGGGTGCATTCCTAATGCTTCAAAAGTGAAGAATACATAATGCCAAATAAGCTGATAATGGGTGCATTTAATGTTACAGAGAGATAAGAACTTGCAAAACACCTGAAAAACCTCCTAAATACTCTACAGTGGCTTACCCACTTTGGCAGAATACTATATGATTGGTTACAGTTTTAAAATCTTGCTGCCCACTACAGAAAATCTGAATGACTTTCTTGGATTACAGCAATTCACATTTTGTTCAAAGGCATCACCGTCTAATGGGAATTCTCAATGTGCTAAGAGTGAATTGAGATGTGCATACTCTTAAAAATTAAGGTACTATTGCCAATCATCTAATTTCTAACTGGTTTTCCACTGCAGGGTTGCCAGAGCCTGAGCAGGGCACAGCCTGGAGGGCACGCTGGTCCATCACAGGGCACATAGAGACAAAAATGCACACAATCACACCAGGGCCAATGGTTCCAGAACCAATTAATCTACCATTATGTTTTCGGACTGTGGAACCAAACCAGATCAACAGGAGAAATCCCATACAAACATACAAACTCAACGCAGACAGCAACCCAGGTCCAGAATTGAACCCAGGGGCCCAATGCTGCAAGGCAGTAATGCTAACCAATGCAGCATCGTTCTGCCATATTGGCAATTATGTGCATTTTTTTGTATTAACGGTCATTTAAGATGGTTCAAAGTAGCTCCATGACTGCTAAGAAATTTATGCTCCAATGTCAATAAAAGCTGGGGATCAACATTTCATTAGGATTTGACATATTTTTTGTTGTAGTGAATGACAACATACAGATATCAGATGATCAAGACTGGAGCTGTGCTCATTAAATGTGTATAAATGAAATAACCCCCATACTAAGTCACTGGTGAAAAGAAATTTTAAAAACTGGATTAGAGCAGTCCACAATATCCTAAATTGAATGAGGTGAATCATGGAAAGAGATGATAGAGGCTTACCTGTGCTTTCTGAAAGGAAGCAGGCTTGGAAATCTCTGAGCCCGTGGATGCAACCAGAACAGCAGACCCAGAGGTCCTCGAGTCTGAGGATGAAGAGGAATTAAAGGAGCTACACATGAAGACACCACATAAACCACACCACACATGAAGGCGTCAATATACCGGCTAGAGTAAAAATAGCGAATACATCCTCAGAGATTTTCTTCAGTGATTAAACGTTTTGTACTAATCTACAATTCATTCCGCTTGCCTCGACTTTAAGTCGTATTGTAGCAAAATTTCTAGCTTTTAGTGTGCTTTTATTATTTTCAACTACGAATCTCCCTCTTTCTTGGAGCTGTCAGACATTTAGAGACGATTTCAACCCTTGTTGAAGGAAAGCAGAGTGGTAATACAGTAAATGCATTGACTGACGTAACACAAACATACACTTCTAATATTTCTATTATAAGAGTGCAGCTTTACTATGCAAGGACCCTCCAGGACTGCAAAACTTTGTTCTCTTTTATCGCTCGAGCCAGAAAGCTGTATTGCAAACGCGAAACGTTTAACTATGCAAAGTAATTTAACATGACAAAAATAATCCAGAAGTCCATGGATTGTGCAACGCACCTTCCTGCAATCCACCCGAAACAAATTGCAACATGTTGTAACCACAGTGTACCACTCTCTAGCCCTTTGAAACGAAGCGGTTTATCATTTACGGAACGTAAAACAGCCCGAGTGATGACGTCAACAGTTAAAACCACGGATGCCAATCGGTACTGGGGTAATGCGCAAGTCAGTTGCGCCAGCGCAGCAGCAACCGGAAGTATTGTTGTTGCGTCAAATTCGTCAGTGCTGCAGTAGTCCAGAGAGCGATCGAAAGTGGGACAGACACCTGAAAAGCCTAGAGAGGAGTTACACAAAATAGTGATCGCCGATATTAATGACAAGGCAGCGCCATGGCGCTAAACAAGAACAATTCAGACTCTGGGGGGGTGATCATCAACAACAGCGAGAGGTAACGGTGGAATGGATTTAATAGTTTAAAATAGATCAGTGAAGTGATGGTTTCAAACTACAGACCTGTTATTTGTTTTTACCTATCCTGTGTTGTCGCTAGCATTTTTTTGCAGCTTGTTTTTTAATAAAAGTCTTCCTAGCATATTAATTAATTGTCCGTAACAAAATGACAGCATAGGCAAGTGCGGTTTAACATTGACTGGTTTAGCTGTAAATTCAGTTTCTTCCTCTGCCGGCGCCAGAATGTTTATCACTGCTATTAATTATCTTACTAGGTTCAGTTGTCCAAAACACAGGGGCCTTCTGTCGTGTGCCAGATGGGGAATCTTTCATTTTAAAGACCGAGTTTCGGGTTTTGCTGGAATGTTCTCTTACGGTTCAGCTTGGGTTAAACCCATTGTATTAATCTCCTTAGATCCTACGGAGACCGCTGGCAGGCAGACGGTTTCTCACGGTCGAACTTTGTTCGTCAGAATGGTGGCATACATTTTCGGTCATTTGACAGGCATTCGCCACCAGGTTTTGTCATGAATACGCTTAAGGAGGATGACGTGATGTATATAACACGCCAGAAACAATACTTCCAAATGAGAAGAACTAATTTGCTAACTTCTCCGTGTTATCCCACCAAAAAAGCGCTCTATCCGTTAACCAGTTAACCATATCTTTATGAACCGTATAATATTACCATCGCGTTGCGCATTTAGATGTTCCGTAACAAAAAATGTGTGTAGCAGACATTTTAAAGAATGGACAGTTTAACAATATGGTTTTACTGAGGTGTTCGCAGTACTTACCTACTGTTATTGCTGTCAGGAAAAAAAACTGCTATGCAGGCAAAATACTGCCTTCATAATTTTGTTTCTTAACATGCTTTCTTGCCAAATTCCTTATTACTCTAACTTCACTCTTTTACCCATTCAGGATTAAAAATGACCAATAAAGTATTGTAATATGTTACCAGAATATCCCATTACAGAAGCCTAAGTGCACTTATAGAACAGTTTCACCATGGAGAGTATTGAAGCTTACTTTTCTATGTGTTTTTGAGGAACTAGTTAAAGAGTGTTAAATTGCTTCTACTTCTGCAGTTTAACATGCACGGTTACAGGTTACTCCATGGTTACAGTTTCACATAATTTGCTTGCTTTAAGTCTTCTTTCAAGAATGCTTTCCTTCTGAGACACAGAAGCACTTTGAGGCATTCTCTGTTTTGAGAGTGATACATTTAATCTCTGCTCTTCTGCTGTTTTCCCTTGGTTCACAGTGTCCTGATGACCTATGACCATGTGGAGCTGTCCTTCACTGACGCAGAAACATTGCCAGAGCCTTTTAGGAAGAGCAAAAAGGGAAGCATCTATCTGACCCCATACCGGGTGAGAGAGAGACTGTTAATCTCAGTAATCAATAATCACCATGGTGTTATAGCACTACAACTAATCACTCTTATAAGCATCCATTGAAGTGATGCAGAACTTTTTCAGGAGCTGTGAATACTGTTTTAGGGACACAGACTGCGTCTTCACGATTACTTTCCCTCTTGCAAATTTTCATAGTGGTTGCCTAAAATAATTCCTTTCTCCTAACACTGCCTTTGGCCAGTGAGGGAGTGAAAAAGCAAGAGTGGCAGTCCATTGGCGTGACTATAGAATCTGTAGCCTCATTGGTAAATCAGTAGCTGAGTGAAGCAGTGCCCTTCTTCGACCATTGCTAACTCTGCACACCAACAGAAAAACCAAAAGCTTCAAGGCATAGTGTGACGAAGGGGCTTGGGAAAGTGTATTATTGTTCATAAAACAACTGCACGACTTTCTTACATTCCTTTTAGAATCCGAATTTTGTTCCCCCCCCACAGAATCATTATTCTGCATAATCTTACAGAAGCAGTTAGATAGTGGTAGATCACAGGACTCCCTGAGTCATTGTTTCAAGGAAAGCCAAAAGCGTGTAAGGCAACTTAATCCCCTTACTTGGGAAACCCCAGTCACAGTCAGCTAGTGACATGAGCTTGAACTTGTCTTATCCTGATCATAGCGCCCAACCTGTGCTCTTGGTTGAGCAACACCTACAACCTCTGAGATGGAGTGGCCTCATTAAAAATGCAAGAATACAGACTAATACTGAATGCTGGTGTGTCATAGGTGATCTTCCTGACCAAAGGCAAGGATCCCATGCAGTCCTTCATGATGCCATTTTATCTGATGAAGGGCTGTGAGGTGAAACAGCCAGTCCTGGGGGCCAACTACATCAAGGGCATTGTGAGCTCTGAGTCCGAAGGTAAGATGCCTTGGGGAGGGCTCAGTCTGTAGGCTGTCTTGGCGTTTGGCTGGACAGGAGAACCTCTAAAGTGTGAGCTACATCAGCAAGGCGCATTTCCTTGACATGCATGTCTGCTGTTGCATGCTGGTCCCTTCCTGCACTGGACTAGCCAATTTCAGAGCCTGATTCATGATTGAAGTTAAAACAATTAGGAACACATTTCAGCTGTAAAATCCATTGGTCTTTTGATGCCACCATATTATAAAAATATGATCCCGCACTCACTTTCATACCCAAGAAAATGCTGAACACAAAGACACAAAGTATGTTTCAAACTTCTCGATACAAAGGGTCTTCTCATGACAACATCATCACGGGTATACAGTACATGTGCGTGACCAACAAATAGTTTTCAACAAGATAGCTAATTGATTCACTTCAGAAATATTTTTAAAATGTTGCTAACAATTCTAATGGAATAAAACATGGCCTGATCTATAACAAATTACTGTCCAGTGCTGTACACAGAGCTAAAATGGGGATCAGCAATTTGCAATGCAAAAGAGAATATGATCTCTGAAAAGACTGTATCTCTCCTGCAGGAGGCTGGGAGGGTTCTTGCAACTTCAGACTGACCTTCAGTTCAGGGGGGGCCATTGAGTTTGGGCAGTACATGCTACAGGTGGCATCACAAGGTAGGAGATTTTTCCTTTACCTTTGGAACTCTGTCTGTGTCTGAGGTGCTGTTTCACCCCTGTTTGAGTCAGTCCAGTCTGTCTCTTTGTCACTTTCATTGAGCTTGCTAGGGGCTGTTGTGTTGATGATGCTATTTCCCCTCCCCCAGGTGAACCTGTGGGGTGTGACCGTGAAGTACTCTTACGCCATATGCTGTCTCACCTTGGATTGAGCTATTATGTATCAATGATGCTGTCTTGCCTCTGGCTGAGCCTTTCCAGTATGTCTGTAAAGCTGTCTCACCCTTGATTAAGCCTTGTGGGTTGTCGGTGTTGACACTGCTGTCTCTCCACTGTTCTTCTCAGCTTCTAGAGGTCAGCCTGTGAGTGGTGCCTTTGGGTGCCCATACATGCCCAATGGAGCCTACTCCTATCCCTCACCCCCCGCCAATGGAATGTATGCTGGACCCCCACCAGGTTACGTCTATCCCCCTCCTCCAGGTCAGTGCCCACACCCCTGTCTCTGTGGTCAGGTTGCATGCTTTTTTAAATTTAGATTTCTCACGCAGACATTTTGATGTCTTTGTTTTGATGTTTGCAGTCAGAGTTTTTGTCTCTTTTCTTCCTCAGCTGGATTTTACCCTGGACCCCCAACTTTTGACAGTGCTGCTAGTTACATGCCTCCTCCCCCCTATTCTGGACCAATGGAACAGCCCGCTCAAGACCCAGGCCTGCCCAACACTCCAGCAGGTAGTGGGAGAGAACACTCCTTTCAGTAGTAAGGGACAAGAGCATGAGCGAGTTTACTGGTCCATATTGAGCTGCACTCTTCAGGTGCAAAGGCCAGTAATGCAGCATGTTGACCTTGCCCGTGCTGTGTGTTTCCAGAATTAAGAAGCTGTCTTTTCTAAATGTTGGCATCTGCCAGCTTATTTTAAGAACCTGTTTAGTTAAGTACCTGCATAGTGTTTCCTGCTTAGCTTTTGAGACCACTTTATGATGCTCAGAGTATTGGCACTTGCCGATTTGCTTCACATTGCCTGAAATTAATTCCCAGTTTACGTTTCACTAACACAGCACAAGCAAAAGCTGCAGAGGCAGCAGCCAGCACCAGCTACTCATCTCCTGGCCCTCCTGTCTACATGCCCGAGGTGAGCACCAGGTCTCACCTGCAGACCATTTCTGATCTGAGACACTGACTCAGGAATGGGAATCCTAAAATACAGTAGCTGAGCTGCATACCTGACTACCAAACTACTGTAGATCCTACTGTGTGACAACAGTGTGTTGAAAGCATTGTAGCAAGTGCATATTTTTATCAAGTCTTATTTGAAAAAACATACTTGTTTAAACATTTTATTAGAAAGAATGCATAATTTCATTCAGCATTCTCAAGTTGATTTGTGACTTGCAAAATACGGTGTGAGCACATTACTTCACACAATCTAGAATATGGTGACTTGGCTATAGGGAGCTGCAGTGTACGTTATGGGCATCAATGATTTACTTAAGACCTTCTCTGTTATTTTCTACTGTTATGACTTCTACTTTTATTAATACGGCTTAGTCTGCGCGATAAAAAGCCAAGCTTTCTCTTTAAAAAACTTTCATATCAAAGTCATATCAAAATCTTTTTAAAACCTAATCACAACTCATGAGCAGTCAGCGTGTTGTAGCAGCGTATCAAATGTTCCAGTCAAATCTAATTAACGTATTATTGTCAGAATGTCAGATTAACATCACTTGGTCTTCTCTACATATCCAAAAGGCTACTTTTTGTTCTACAGAGGATGGGTCTAACAGGAGTGACTGTTTAGCCCCATTGCTCAAAACATTAAGGTTTAAAATGTAGTAGAAGCTCATCATAGAATTGTATATCTGCATGAAGGCAGAAGACTTGGAAGGGTGAAAAGTAATAGAATGGTTCAAAGCAGTGTATATCATCCTCACAGCAGCTCCATAAATGTCTGATAATTTCAAGGCACCTGGATCCACTGGTACTGAATAGTGAATGATATGACAATGACTTATTAGATGTTTTGTGTTTGCAGGACAAACCTCCTCCCTACTCCCCACCAGAGGACAAGAAATCCAAGTAAAAGAAGCAGATGGTGGGACTCAGTGATCACTCTTCCCATTCTCCCCTATCCTGTCTGGATGACAGGCACCCCAAACCCTCCCCTGCAAACCCTGGACCCATGATAGAACTGGAGCATGTGCTTGTAGTATTAATGCTGCACGAACAAACTCTTTTACTACATTTAGGACTTTGTCCATTACACTCCCATTTATACATCACCTGATAATCCTGCTGTCTCCACCCCAGAGATGAATAATTTTAATCCACATTTGATTGGCAATCACACTGCTCTTTGGACCTTCATATAGTGTCACTTCAAGCAGTGAATTGAATAAACTACAGCTTTCCAGGGTTTCAGTGGGATGACCTGTCTCCGTATGATGAACTGCACATTAAAAGGCGTATAACTGTTATAATCGGAAAATACTAAATACAAGTTAATAACTAAAAACCATAGGGAGACCTGGAAGAAGTCGGGCAGTTGCATGAATGGATACAATTACCTGCTTTTTATACTCCTGTCATTCCTTAAAAATTAAAGACAGTGAGAGGACCGATTTGAACATGGGTACAATTGTAAGCATTCTCTCATGTTTTAATGAAGAAACTTAAATCCGTTAAAAAATGTTGAAAGGCACAGTTAGATTACGGTGAAGGGTCTTGGCTTGGGTTCTAGAACTCTCATCTTTTTTCGAAGCAAAAAAGAGTATCTTAGTAATATATACATTAACTTTGTAATATCCTAAACAGCTCATTCCTAGTAATCAACCATTCTGTTCTTGCAGTATTAACAGATGGTATGATGAAGGCACTTTCCAGTGCAGCACCTTACTTTTCATTCATTACCTGTGGCTTCTCCTGTGGCACAAAGCAGATTGCTGTTTTTCTTCGCAAAGCTTGCACTTCTAAATGGCTATGCATTATGTGCCCCCTCCTCCCTGTGTGTATAAAGGTGAAAGTTTATTTAAAAATCTTACTAATTTATTCATTAATTTATTAAGTTGAAAAGGCATGGTTACTTATGTGTAACTCTTCTAAACTGTGAATTAACTCAGTTTTAATAAATTGAATTTGTGTGAACAGACTCTTTTGCAGTTTTCTTTAATAGTGGGAGTAATACATTTAGGGCTGAGCTTGGGTAGCTATCAATTATGTTCAGTAACTTTGATTAATTAGATTTTGGGAAGACACTTAACTGGCCAAAATATTTGGAACCCTTACTCTGCAACTACCTTGAAGCACCCATTTTACATACAGTATGTCTCTGAGAGATTTCCAGCCAAATTTGATCCTATTCCTGTACATGAATGGTTTCAGTTGAGGTTCCGATTAAGAATGAGAGCAGCAAGTTTCACTGTTTTTTGACCTGGGAAGAAGATATAAATCTGTTCACGTAATGCATGGGATCCCTAAATGTTTGGTTCATTTAGCTCTGACAGATACAGTTCATTCAACTCATTCAAGTCTCCACCCAGAATGCAGGATGAATCCTCAGAAATGAAGGTTGCTGGTTTAAATCCATCTGGCTATACCTTGAAGCTGTTACCAAAAGTCCAAGAATGTATAGAAGGAAGATGGATTGCTTATGAGATCCCGAATTCAGATACAGCAGCTGTCCCCGTCATTGGACTTGAACCCTCAGGCACTGTGCCTTTATGGCACAGACAGTCTCTGCAAGACCGTCTCTAGGACTGTACTTAAAGAATGAGACAGGTTTGACTGTTCTCTCTAGGAACGGTCTCCTACTAGTTTCCATTTCTTTTTGTTCATACATATGCAATTTTATTTTAGAATCTTCAGTAATTTACATTCTTTACAATACATACAAAAATGAACCAAGCATTTCAGTATGTTCATAGAATACACACAATCCTATAATTTTTAAACCAAGAATGTAAACCAGTAAACTTTCAAGACACCTTCAATACAATACTATAAAACATTCAAATATGTGCAAATACTGTGTAAACATTATTTTTATACAAACAGCTGTAATTTAGAAGTAGCATTAAAATGTTTTAGTTCTGTAAATGTAATATGCCACATGAAAGCATGTATAATCTGTAATAGCGGACATTCAACAATTTGAATGCATTTTTTCTGAACCACTATAAAAAGAGTGAGAAATACCGTTTTTACTGGGGCAAGGAAGTGCTGGAAATAGTTAACAGTACTAAAGAACTCAGAAAATCATGAAATAAGATTCTTAATTTTACTTGCTTGAGAATTGCTTGATATTTTTCACGATACTAAAAGAACATATGACATTAATTCTATCAGTCCCATTCTCATTCATGACATGAATATGTTTTCAAGTTTTCAATCAGTTCTTCAGAGTTTGTAAACAGCTTGCCAATGTGGCCCAGACTGTAAGGACACACTGGAAGCAGATAGTTGCTTTACCAAGAGAGTTTATACTTGTTCGAAGGTAGCTATAGTTTTAAAGAAGGAGGATTCACTAGACACTTTCTAGGTAGGTTATTGTATTTATGTAAAGGTTTATTCCATGCTGAAAAGAGAAGAAAAGAAATACAATATCCTGTTTTATAGCTCTGTACACAACTCTCCACCTGTCAGCTCAGTCTCCATTCTCCTTATTATATGAGTGACCACAATATATACTGTATGTAGCAACACCAAATGTGATTCCATTATCCACTTTGTGGATCCCAACACACCCCATCCCATTTAAGCATACTGGTAACATTGATTAGCAGTATGGGAAGCAACAGATGACAGGATTTAATCTGAGACGTATAGCCAAGCAATTGCTTCTTCATCGTCAGCTAAAATACATCACTATAAATTTATAAAAATAAAAATACTGATATATTCTACTTATATCATTACAAAACAAGTAGTGAGAGTTACATTAACACTGCAAGCCTTGATACAAGAAAATGGCCAATGACAAGAGCTGTTCCTGCAGTCAAGGCATGCACAGTGTGACACTCACACCTTCGCCAATCCAGAAGGCTGGGTACAGCTCCTGGGAGAAGGCATTGTAGAAGGTATGCAGGATGGTCTGCCCTTCCCCATAGTAGGTGAGTGTACCAGCATGGCAGTTCAGCAGGAGACCGATCCTCCTATAATGGGGCCTGATCTGGACTGGCTCCTTCCTGCCTGCATGCCAGGCACAGAGTTCTTTCTCAGACAGATGAAGGCTCCAGGAAAACTCATTCAATCCCAGGATCAAGTCCTTGCCTTTCCCCTTCCTGGGTATTGAATCATAAGCCACCCCTATGTAGGCCCAGGGTTTGGTTATCTCTACCTCCCAGTAGTGCTGCCCCCCCGACAACCCCTCAGTGCACAACACCTGCCAGACGTTCTCAAAACGGGCTTTATTGGGGGGGTAGTTCTGTGGGTCTGAAGTCTTGTGCTTTGCCTGGCGGCTGTCCTTAGACAGCCAGATGTTGGCATTGGCTGTGTCAGGGTTGAACGAGAGCTTCCTGTAATCTGTTTGGGAGGAAGATACAGAGAAGATTACTGCATGGAAATCCCTCAGAAAGCATGAGTGTAGAGAATGCAGTGTGCCTGTCACAGTACCTGTTCTGCTTCTCTCTGCTCTATATTATAGTCCGACATAAATTCCACATACAATTTCAATCCAAGCTCCAACTAAGGAAGACACCTCAGTTTTTCACTCATTGATTGAATCATTGATTCAAGCAAGATATAAAACATGTTATTTCCTACTTGTTACAGTGTCAATGATTGAACTGATACACCAAATACATCTATGATTTCTTTTCAAAAACCCAACATAGCCTATTTGCTATAATACTGTGACACCGCACACCACCAACAACATAACTTTTCTCCACTTGTACATGTTCCGTGATAAAAGGAATACATGGCTGTATATTAGAATCAGATATGGCAACATCAACAGTGAAGTAGAAATTCCTTGTACAGTTGGCTCCTGTGAAATCCTAACGGAGAGAATGGAACAGGAAAAGTATTGTACAGAAGTCAGCATCGGAGAGAGACAAATTTAACAGTATTTCAGGATATAAAAAAACAACTTAAAGATTCTGCTGGAGTTAGACAAGTTCTGTCAATCAGTACCACTATTTGTCAAGAACACAAACAAAATATAAAAAAATAAATGGTCAATATATAATATATTAAGTTTCTGAAATTATACTTTCTGTTCTGCACAAAGAGAAAATTAAGCAATGAATCTTGTCACTGTCACGTACTACTAGCCCGTTTCTGATTCAGTGTTTTAAAGCACAAGGTCAGTTTCAGACTGAAGTCCAGTTGAAAACAGCATGAGGAAATCCAACAGGAGAAGCATTAGGAGATAAACCTGTTTAGACACAAACCTCATTTGGTTGTACACTAAAATAATACAGTGATAAGTGCTTTTTTATTCACCGCAGAAAGCAATATGAAAGTTGTTTCAAGCAAATTTATTTTGCCACGTCAGAATTAGTGCCATGTGGCAGTTTGACCAACAGTGCAAGATAAGATACTGACTATAATTTTCTGAAAACCACCCACTTGCACGGAAGCCTTCTCTAACTGGTGAACAGCTTGAGCCAATGGGATCTGGAATACTAGCCACCACAATCTGCTTATCTTCTGGAGAACCTGATGGTATGGAGACAAAAGAGAAAAAGATGGATTGACATTTGGGTTTAAAAGTCCTAGTGTTGTGAAGTTTGAGTACAAATAGATATTTGTCATATGGGACCAATTTATGAGAAAAGAAGCACTAAGCTTCTTGTACAAGCAACACATAACTGCACAATAACTGCACTCCCGCCCAAATAGGGAAATGTGCCTGTGGCATTTTGTGAAGGACAACGGCATTGCTGTTACTGATTCCACACCTACTGACAATGTACAGAAAAACCTAGTCCATAATACCAAGTAATAGTAGCCTGTTGCGTGATAGATAAATTTAGGTTAACTGCAAATCAAAACATTTCAAATCATAATGGGACTATGCTACCCATGGGTAGCAACCTGATCCCTGGTTTAGTAGTTTCTTTGCTCCACTAAACAGCTGACTGCCTCCTTTTAAATAACAGAATACACATACAATACATGTTATACGCATTGAACAATTATTCTTGATATATCATTGCAGCTTTGCCTGAACTCTTTATCATGTGTTTATATAAATTTTACATCCTCTTGAAACGTCACTCCCCCATAATGCCATTCCAGAATGCTCATTATTTAAAAAATCTATGAACAATTACAGTATAAACATGCTAAGATTTTATCTTTAAAAATTAAAACATGAAAGTGAATACAGGTAGAGAAGATATAATATCATAAATGAAACTATAAAAAGAAAAACATGAAAAAATAAAACTTTCAACAGAAATGGTTTAATACACATGATTAACACCCATCCACTAACAGCTGCCCATTCTCACAATAAGAAGACCCAGGCAGTTCTGCTGGTGCTCTTACCTTGGCTCTCCTGGCCACTGGCCACACTTATTGCTTTCTCCAGATCCTCCAGCAGAAGCTTGGAGATCTTGGACAAGATGCCAGTCACCCCGGTTAATGTGTCTTGAAGATCTGAGGAAACATTCAGGGGCACATTCCTAATGCCTGGCAGTGCAACAAACTGAGCCTCCTGTGGATGATTGAGAAAACAGAGATGGGTCATATTGCATACATTGGGTGTTAACTTACAGAGGAGGCCTGTCTTAATGTACAAAATATCAGTGGTTGTCGGGCTGAAAACCTAATAGGCCAATAATGAAATGGTCAATAATGAATGGTCAATGAAAGACATCTATTTTACCAATTCTTAAATAATTAGAATATTTTACATACTGTTACTTACTTACCTTAAACATCAAGACCCTAAGGAACAGGGAAATATTTCAATTTATAAAGCACCTTTAAATGAGGAATCCCAAGGCAAAGTCCATGTCTGATCTCAGGACCAGATAAAAAAACAACAACAACATTATTCTCACTATAGGGTATTACTGAATGTTAATCAACCTGACTTGCCACTTCAACCATGACCCAACATGAGCAAGCATGCTTCCCTCTGATGTCCACTGATGAGGCTCTTGCTCATCACATGCCATTAACTCCACCGCACCACATGGAAGTGTCGGTGCCGACAGGAGAAGGGATGTTGCTGCAAGCTTGAAGGTGCATCATAATTCTCTGGGACACAGCATTACCTGGTATCAACAGGATACCAAGGAGTAAGAATGGAGGCCATGTAATGCAGTGCCACTGGTCACTTCAAATGTATGGACTGCAGACAGAAGCCACAACATTATGGCCTTGTAAAAAAAGGATCTGCAGCCTCTTTACCCGGAGAAAGTGAATATCTGGTAGAGTATGAATGGTTTCAATCTGTTTCTGGTTTTCCCTCAGCTTCTCAGCTCGTTCTTCCAGAATGGTGAGTCTCCCCTCAGCCTCAGTCAGAACCACCTCCATCTCCTGCTGCATGAACTGCTGCACTGCCTCCTGCTTCTCCGTCATGCTCTTCAACAGCTGGCAGAACTTCACATTCACCCACTCGGATGTCTGCTGCAAGAAAACCTGGATCAGAAAAGAAGAAGAATTAGAAGGTGCCCCAGACCAGAATTAAATCCAGAAACCAAGAGCTGCATGTTAGCAGCATTAATTGTCATGCCACCATGCCTGCCTCCTATACATAGTCCATATCTTCTGTCAAGAGACTTATCATAGTGGGCATCGTAGTGTGTTAAATGCACACATCCAGCACAACTGTGACTTTTTTGATATTGTAAGTCACATGTACTGGGACACAGGGCCAAAACAGAATTCTACACCGTTTCTGCTATAACTTTTAAAGCAATTAAACAAATCAAGAATTATGCTGTAGTATTATACTTCTGAAAGCTCAGTGCTAATGAAGATCTTTGTTACTGCTATAGCAGATCCTAGGTCATGAGATGTTGTGCAGAGGGCACTGTGTGCTTTTCTGGGTATGGTGGCAGAGGTTGCAGTGGTGTTGCAGGGTTCAATTCCAGATCAAGGGCTATCTGTCTTAAATTTTGTATTTTGTGTGGGTTTCCTCCCACAGTCCAAACTATACTGGTAGGTTTATTGACTTTTGGGGACTATTGGCTTCGGTGTGAGTGTGGCTCTGTGAGCCCGCTGTTTGGTGGGACAAGCTGCGGTTTCCCCCGAAACATGTAATTGGAGGAAGTGGTTAGAAAATGAATGGATGAATGAGAATTGCACTGGATGTTAAAACAATTAGAAATATTATTTTTATTCTATTGATAGTGTTCTTTAACCTTGGTGATGTCAATGGTTGCACTTCCCTTTTCTCCTGAACCTGGACTGGCCATTGCTGTTGACCACAAGAAGTGTCTTCACAAGAAGTAAGGTTCACCTGATACATGGTGCTACAAAGGACAAGCACTGTGATTTTAAATTAGGACCAGCCTAAAAAAAAGGGTTAATTACAAACTGCTGATTACAACAGCAAGCATACCTTGGTCTTGGCAATGTTGTCCTTTAGTTCTTCAATGCTCTTTGTCGTGCCCTCAATGTATCTGACCAACTCTTGATTCTTTTTGCTGAGTGTTACCTGTCAAAGCAAACTGCAGTGTTAAAGTCTCATTTCTCAGCTGTCTTCTTTGCATTCCATATGGTGTCACACTCAAATGTGGTTTCAGCATACTGTAGATTCACCTAAGAACCTTATGACACTACCAGAGGCTAAGAAAGAGAGGTTAAGAAAAAAAGGAAGGGGGTCTGGCAGCTGGTTCAATCAGTAAAGGTGCTCACTCCAGGTGCAGGTTGAAGAGGGCAAGCCTAGGTTAACCTACAGCACCAATGGGACTGAAATTCTATGTGTTCACCATTAGCAGAATATAACCGGGGCAGAGCTCTGGGGTTGATTACCCAGGGCTCTTTGGCTCTCAGCAAAACAGAGACTCCTGTACCTGTAGACTTGTAGTGAAATCAGTGAATAACACCCTAAGCACAAGGAAGCTTTCAGCACATCCTATGGCTCTGAGCAGTGTGCAGGTTGGTGGAATATGTCAGCCATTCTTCAATCTCCATGTGCAATAGAGGGGTTATTGCTGTGTACCAACACAGAAAGAAACAACTGCGAATTCCAAGCTGAGTAGGACTAAAATGAAAAACACAAAAAAAACATTGTTCAAACTGAAGCAAAAATTCCATTTTGGTCAAGTTCACTGCTTGAGTGATTCTTGAGCTTGAATTGACAGCATCTCCACAGTATTGGATAAGGGTATTGCACCTCTATCATTTTTACTGCCAGATAGTGTGGAGACACAGCTCCCTGGGCCACAGGTATTTCCTTTTATGTGCACTGGTACAAAGCGGTGAGAGGGATGTGGTTTTGCTAACCTCTTGTTTTTTCCTCTCATCCTGTATGAGCACGATGTCATGGGGCTTGCACTCTTGAATGGCACATTGGCAACATATGCACATGCGGTCAGTTCTGCAGTAGAGCTCAAGGGATTTATTGTGCTGCCTGCAGGTCCCCACCTCCCTCTTGCTGCATACATTGCCCAGAGCACTTTCAGCACATTCATGATTCTCCAGCAGATCGGACAAGTTCACATTTTTGTTGAGGGGGGGCTTTTCATTGAAGGTCATCCGACAAGACGGACAGCATATTCCATTCCCCCTCTCCCAATGCTTGCTGATGCAGTCGTAACAGAAGTTGTGCCCACAAGGGATGGTGACAGGGACTTTGAAGGGCTCGAGACAGATGGCACAAGACAGATTCCCATGGTCCATTTCTGTCACCTAAAGATATAAAAACGAATTGATATCGCCACAGCAAAAATCAATCTTGTATTTGAAATTACTTTAACTCAGAAAAAATACAGTAGTATGCAGACTGCAGTGAGTGTAGGTTTTCCTCCCACACTACACTGAAGACACGCACAGCAATCACAAAATTAGCACCACTTCATATTTAAATTGTTGATTCCATGTGGATTAAGGTGCCAACATTACTCACATAGAAAGCCTGAAATTTAGAATAGCCCTGCTGGACAACAGACAAGCAAAGGGGTGCCCAGGTTTAGAAAGATTTTATTACAACCTTTATAACATATAACATTAGCAAAGTATCGATGGGTTTAATTAGAGCATAATACCCCCAGCGTGAAAGAAAGCAGTATCAAAAGGGTGGTATGCCAGGCAAAGGCAGATCCTGTTATCGAGAGTAGGGAAACCCTCTTCCTTTTTTCAGTTTCGGGCGAAAAACCAAACCCAGTTTTCGAAAACTATTTACAAATTCAACCACTAAACAATTAAATACGAATAATGTACATTTTTTGAATGAGCAATAATAAAACGTTATGGAAGGTAAACGTCAGATTTAGAGACTTACCTCTGGACTTCAACAACCCAAGTACTTTATGCCAATACTGTATCTTTGTTTTAAAATGTCAACACCACTTCTCTTCCGCAATACACAATATGGTAACTGTGTAAAATGCTTGTGACCTCACGCATACTGCAAAAACGCAGCCCAATCTGTGTGCGGATAGTGCACGGTTTTGGAAAGTGAGGCATATATTCTTTTTTTTAACGATATCACAATATTTCTTAAACAAATATAATCCTAAGAAATTAACGACCTTCTGGCACGTTTAAATAAAAAAAACTGCTTTTACGGACTTTGATTAATTGGTATGCTTTTGAAAATGTTTTGAAAAGCTGCTTGCTGTTAGACTGCTGCAATCTCACCGGCAGGCGCAGAAATCCCATAAGTCTCCACTGCCTTATGCTAAGGGCAACATGGCGGCGCGCATGGTGTGCGGAGTTGTGCTGCGGACAGGGACGGATTTGGGCGTCTTCCGAAGATTCGGAACGTCAGGTAAATCGTGGTTTAAGCTCTGAAACAGCACCTTAGACAGCTTTCGAGTCGTCCGACTTCAAGGGTTGTGAACTGCATATATCGATGGCTTCCAGCGCAGTTACGGTATCACTCTAATGTAAGTTTTTGCTGTCACTGAATTCGTCATAATGGCATCTTTAGTTGTAGTACACCAAGAATTAGAGCTGCCCTACATTCAAATTGGTCTTTTAAATTTTCCCGAGAAATGAGAATGGAGGCAATATAGTGTATGTAAATACAGAGGTGTGTGTTGTGCATTGAGGTTTGTCTAAGTATGTAGGTCAGTCTACTCTATTTTATGCTTCGTCCTATAATATTTTTAATAGAAACTCACATCCATACAGCATATGTAAAACAAGGAAAGCAAGTTCAAAAAGGTAAATGCATTAAAGTAATAAAAAGTCTAAACCCAGCACTAACTAGAGGTGCAAAGCAAAAAAGAAATAGTATGACCAGTGTACAGAAATTCTGGATATAAAAATGGCTCATGAATAAAGTAGGTTTCTTTTGTTGGAAGGGCTTGTTTTATAGTCACTTGTTGTATTTGCGTTTTACCCACATATTTAATTTAATATATTAATGCAAAGGCCATCATTTAAACAGTTATGTCTTTCTTATTTCTGGTGGCTCCATTGTAATATGGACATCTAGACTTTTTTGTCTTTATTACAGAATCTGTAGTGTAGACCAGAGTTGATTTGTCTCACCTGGAGAGAATGTACAGTAGATAGTTTTGTTTACTCACTTCTTTTTCTCTGAGAATGCTCACAAAAGAAATGAGATGAAGTGTTCTTGGAGAGCCAGGTGCCAGAAGACACTTCTGTGTGGATGAAGCTGAATCACTCCTGCATGGTGTGCATTGTCTAACTTGGATATTTTGCCTGAAAATTCAGCTACCGCGTGCCGGCGAGCAGCTCCACTGGGACCCATGCCCAACGAAGACATCGATGCCCGAAACCTGGAGTCTCTGGAGAAGTACCGCAGTTACACACGTTACCTGAAGGTGGCGGAAGAGGAGAGCAGGAAACCCCACTGGTGGAAAACCTACAGACAGTACGTCGTGCAGGAGGAGGGTGAGGAGGCTTCTCAATGGGAAGGAGGGCAAAGGTGTCTGGCAAGGTGTCCGAGTAAAAAGGTGTCTGGGTTTTGTAAAAAAAAAAGTAGAGTAAGAGCGTACCTCAATTTCTGTAGTGTAGAGCAGCCAGAGAGTACTGGAGTACATCCCTGGATGGGATGGGTGTGTTTCCCATTTCTATACCTCACGGGAGTCTTGAAAATCTCCGTGTAGGAGGCTGTACTTTTAAGACTAGCTGAAGGTCTGAGTACATGTCATGGGAATGCATCAAGCTGTATTAGTTTGTGTTCTTTAGGATGTGCATATTTCATTTTTAAGAGACGTGAATAAGCATGCTGTTGTTTTCCTCCTGAAGGTGCTGAGAAGATTGACATTGGCCTGCCTCGTCTGCAACTGTCTCGAAGCCAAGAGGTGAAGGAGAGGAGGAAATTGTGCAGAGAGAACCGCAGAAGCAGCGAACTAGAGAGGGCGACACGCCTGCAGACCTGTATGTAGTGAGTGTGTCGTGTTGGTTTAGTGGGCACATTTGTGGGATTAGTGAATGTTTTATTACAAAATCATATGATACTCAGGATTCTAAAGTCTTTCCTTTGTAATTCTTGTTACTGACATAGTTCCATGCACACAACTGTAATATATTCTGTAATATATATATATATTCTTGCACCCAAATATATTCTTGTGATGAACCTTTATGCATGAAAGAGGGGGAGTGGGAAAAATCACAGCATCTACAAGATGTTGTAATGCTCAGCAGCCTTGGAAAGTGTAGTGATGTGATGTGTCCAGACCAGTCCTCTACTGTGTAGTCAGGATGGGGGCTACTTCAGACACTTGTTAAATACTGGTGTAACCTAAGTGCATAAAAGAGTTACCTCTAGAGTAATACCAATGATTCAGTTAGGAAAATACAGGGAGAGTGCTACCAAAGGTTTGTATGTAAGGTATCTCTCATGAGGCCTATATGCATGTCTGTTGGTCTTGTCTTCCAGTGCGAATACCTCTGGATGAGGTGAAGGCAGAGTGGGAGAGGACAAACGGTCCCTATGATGTTCAGAGAGTAGCTGAGTACTATGGCATATATCGGGATCTCTTCCCTCATGCCACCTTTGTGCCAAGGGTGGTGTTGCGTGTCGTGTATGGCAAAGAGGGGGAGCACAGTTCACCAGTGCATTGTGGGAATGTGCTAACTCCCAGCGAGGTATGTTCTTTTTTCATTATATGTAAACCTGGGCTTTTGTACAAAATCTCAAAATATCTGTCCACTCTGCTTTCTCTTTGTACTGAGAAAGACAGGGCTTGTGGACGCTTTCAGTTTTTTTCCTGGTTTGTGCCAACAACATATTAACCTGTCTTTGACCCCCTTGTTTGCTTTCAGGCAGCCAGTGCTCCTCACGTGACATTTGGAGCAGAGGATGGCTCCCTGTGGACGCTGCTTCTTACCAGCCCGGGTGAGTTTCAGGGGAACCTCAGTGATGAGGTGTGTAAGTAATTGACTCTTACTCAGAGCTTCACCCAAAACATTATTTGATGAGGCCGGTTTAATGTGAGGAGTTAAAATATCAATTATGTATTTAAGAGTTTACATCAGCATCTGCTAATTTAATGTTAGTTTAGTTTATTAATGAACCTGTATTGCTCTGAGGATCTTTTGTGAATCTTTTGTGTGTTCTTTTATTGCAAAACAGTGTATTTAATACATTCTTGTATCTGTAGACTTAATAAAATCTCTGTTTGTGTACAGATATAAATTTATTCTCATACTTTTCACAGATGAACACCTTAGAGACAATGAGTCCGAATATGTTCACTGGCTCGTGTGAGTACTTTTTTTCTTTGACTGCCACAAGGTGGCAGAGTTTGGTGCCGTTCAGTTCAGTTTATTGTCATTGCTCAGTTTATTGTCATTATTTCATTGCTCAAGTGCAATGAAATGCTTATTTACATGTTTGCTCCAATACAGAGAAATTAAGGAAACACCAAAAACATAAACGGAACGAGTTAAATAACATACAAAAAAAACATCACTGTGAGCCAGTGGTAGGGGTAGAGTTCAGTAATCTGACGGGAGGAAACTCTCTCTGAATCTGGAACACTTTGTCGTAAAATATTCACTGCATGCCTTGGTCTTATCCTTACACTTTTTGATTTCCATAAATCATATCAAGAGAATTCCAAATGGTTTCTGTGAAAATGTCTCTTTAAACCTGTTAACTGTCCAATATGTTGCAGTGCTTAGTAATATAAATCCAGTTTATACCGGCTAAAAATTAACTAGACTGCTGAAAGTCAATTACATATCATAATTAGTATTCTGATCGCTTCCAGTTTGTCTTAATATAACAAAACAAAAAATGTGGACTTGTTTCTCCATTTGACTAGATAGATAATTGGATGCCATATTTTTTTTGGTATTAAATGGTTTTGAAAGGCTGGCGTGAACTATTGGTAATTCCAAATTGGGTGGGTATGTACTAAACAATCTCAATTCCAAAATAAAAAAAAATCCAGTATATAATACTGTGAATTTTAACTCTATATCTCTGAGCTTAACCCTGAATTGTCAGCTTTAATTAAGCCAAAAAATGGAGCCTTGGTAACTGCAAGAGTCTCTAGACAGACTATGTAGTCAACATGTATCTTTTTTTTCTCCCCCATTTTGCCATTGAAAAGATTTGTTTCCTGTATTCCAGAGGTAATATTCCTGGGAATATGGTCCATTCTGGAGAGGAAGTTTGTCATTATTTCCCACCTTTCCCAGCCAAAGGCACAGGATTCCACAGGTTCGTCTTCATTCTGTTCAAGCAGGAAGGGCCTATCAATTTCAAGGAAGATTACAGACAGTCTCCCTGGTGAGTAGGAAAATGTTTGTGCACACCGCCTTCTGAGTAACCATTCCATTGTGATTTGGGTAACTAAGGATACTTGCTGGGATAATAATAATTGCTTACACTTTTCTGGACACACCACTCAAAGCACTTTGCAGGTAATGGGGACCACCAATGTGCAGCCCCGCCTGGATGAAGTGACAGCAACCACAGTGCAACGGAACACTCATCAGCTATCAGTGGGGAGGAGAACAGAGTAATGAACCCAATTCATAGATGAGGATTATTAGGAGGTCATGATTGGCCAATGGCCAATGGGAAATTTGGCCAGGACGCCGGGGTTACACCCCTACTCTTTTCGAGTAGGGATTTTTAATGACCACAAGTTTTACATCTCATCCGAAGGACAGTGCCTGTTTACAGTACAATGTCCCCGTCACTATACTGGGGCATTAGGACCCTCATAGACCACAGGGTGAGCGCCCCCTGTTGGCCTCACTAACACCTCTTTCAGCAGCAACCTTAGTTTTTCCCCAGGAGGTCTCCCATCTAGGTACTGACCAGGCTCACACCTGCTTAGCTTCAGTGGGTTGCCAGTTGTGAGTTGCAGGGTGATATAGCTTCTGGCCAAATAAAAAAGACAAGGACTAGAATTTATTTTTGTTAGAATTGTGGAGGTGGGATTTCTTGGTATCTTGGGCAACTACAGTAGTTAGGACTTAAAAGTTAAGTTTTTTAAGAAGGATGTTATTCTATTAAATTAAGGAGCCCATCCAATGTGCTGTGCCAGTCCTGGCTGCTGTACTTGTAAAATTGAGGAATTAACAGGGCGCTTGATAACCAAGTCCTATTTTTTCTCTAGTCACAGTTTAACAATGAGGACGTTCAGAACTTTGGATTTCTACAGAAAGCATCAGGATGCAATGACTCCAGCTGGGCTGGCCTTCTTCCAGTGCCAGTGGGATGACTCCGTCACACACACTTTCCACGAGATGCTCAGTGAGTTTGGCATCTCTGATTTCCAATGAGCAGATGAGCCTGATTGATACTCCCATTCCTAAGCCATAATAAGGTTAAATGTCAAACATTTTGGCTGTGGCATGTACGCACAGTAAAGCAAGCAATTTCAGGACCTTCTAAAAATTACCTGCACCCAAAACCATCCTTAATCATACCAGAGTTCTGTTGAAAATGCTAGAATGAAAATGTTTAAATGGCATTGGGTGGCATTGCTGCCTTCTAAATAATTTTCAGGGCAGGCTATACTAAAATTGCCAAAGGCTCCCCATAACAATTTGTGTTACCCTTCCAAAACTGCCTTTAAGCACCAAATTCAGGTTTTGTGACTCTTCTTTCATTTCATTCCGGTACCAGAGCCCTGCCATAATGGTTCGGTATGGATTGTAGTAGGTCTTGGGTTCTGTAAAAAAACATTATTATACCTTATTTTGTATTAACAGTTACAGAGTGTAACTATGCATTGTATCTCATTTTACTTATCTGTGCCTTTTCTCCTCAGGTATGAAGGAACCTGTGTTTGAGTATGACAGACCACCTGTGTATCATCCTCCACAGAAAAAGTACCCTCATGGGCAACCCCTCAGATACCTGGACAGATACAGAGACAGCCAGGAACCCAGCTATGGCATCTACTGATCTGATTTGAACGGCTTCTTCTGCATGTAATGAACTGGGTGACCTCTGCCAAGCCTACCAAAAGCCTGGCAAGGCTGTGAAGACATTAACCAAGAGTTCCTGAGGCTGGAGACAGATTTTCTACTGAGACTCCTTTTTTGTTTGTTGTTTATTGTAAAGATAAAATAGTCCCAAACACAGTCCTGGATTAATCTTTCATTAGTCATGGCACCATCATGTTCATATGGTAAAAGCAGTGGATGTTAATGAAAAAGGACAGCAGATTTAATCAGATGCCACATTAATACTGTTTTTTTTGTGTGAAAAGGCTTGGTCTTATGTATTTGAACTTACTGCCAAGTACAAACTAAGGTGAACCATGACAACAAAACTTTATCTTCTGGAGTAAGAGTTCTTTCCATGCTTAAATGGTGCATCTTGTTATCCTTTATATTCAGGCTGGTACTGCTATATTTGTTATAGGGGGAAGGAGAATTCAAGTCAAGCAAACTGAGTTGGTCAGGGAAATTGAGGTCTGGGAATAGTTCGGTAGTGATTCAGGTACAGACATACAGCTGAATGGTGTTTGAGACATGGGAATATGTAGTTCAGGTGGGTAGCTGCGTCAGCATGCGTAGGCTGCAAAGGAACAAGTAATAGGTTTATTCCATGCTGAAAAAAAG